GCTGAGTAACTCGGTGCAGGTAAATACCGCTGGATCAACAGCAGCAGGCTCAGATTCGCGTTAAGGATAACCGCACCTGTCATTTCATCTGCCATTAATCTGTGGTTGTAGATGGTTTTGTAGTTGGAAATTGCGACTGTGCATTTTATACATTTAGCAGACCTAACCGGGAGCATTTGCGAAAAATGCATGCAACTATTTACTGATATTGTGGGTTGCATTCATGCAGTATATTTATTGCGTTTCCATCTTCATTTCCATCCATATGTAGTGTTTTCCTTTCTCCTGTCCAGCTACAGTCTGAAATTATCACATATTTCAAACCGTCCGATTTCATGAATTTAAGGCTTGATCCAATGATAAAATAGGCTTCTTTGTTTAGCAAAAGGGGCAAACAATTAGTAAATCAGGTTATATTTAGTTTTTTTACTTTCCGTTGTATGTTAAGTATCACCTATCACATTACATGTCAAGTGGCTTTTTACGTATTATCTGGATTTATACAATTACAACTTAGTCTGCAACTCTACAAAGGCAAAGCAATATTTTCATATAACAAATTATTGAACATCGTAGAGAACGATGATGTCTTAGTACTTAGTCAAACCTGATTGCAAAATTTTCAGCCAAAAAATGCGAGGTTTGCTTACCTCATGACTTACAGCCAAGCAGATCTATCTTTAGTTCCTGAGCGTGAATCATTCGCATTATTGGTAATACATGCATTTCGAAATGCAGATCCTTTGTTAGCCTACAACATTTTGCAATGGGTTTGCAGCATGGAGCATCATATTCCCGTGTATTCATACAATATAACTGTATAAAACTGTATAAATGTGTAAGTAATGTTATTTTGAAAGTTTAGTAAATTGATACGCTGTGAGCGTAACCAAATTCTCACTAAATATAACAGACTGTAGGGATATTTTAGTGTATACGCATCCGAAGCGCTTACTATTTTCAGATTTTTTATAACAAACGCAGCCCAACAGGGACTGTAGAGCGCCTTTAATCTAACAGTGACGTCACACGGTACACACTTGTGCAGCGTATAGTAAAGAATACACAGCTTAAATATTTTTTATCACCACGCTACACAGCCGTGTACCGTGTAACGTCACTGTTAGATTAAAGGCGCTCTACAGTCGATGTTTGGCTGCGTTTGTTATAAAAAACTGAAAATAGTGAGCGCTTCGGATGCGTATACACTAAAATAACCCTATAGTCTGTTATATTTGGTGTGAATTTGGTTATGCACTCAAAGTACTTTTGTTGAAAACTCGTCTTACCGCGTCTGCATAATTAGTTCAGCAAAGCATATATCATGGCCAAATGCTGCTCACCCACAAAATTATAAATATGCTTTAAAAAAAAACTAAACCAGTTTAAACAATCTGTTTGTTATCCTAAAGCAATGGCAACATCAAAAATTTATAGTAAAAGGCCTGCTTTGGGTAAAAATTATCGATATTTTTTTTAGGTTATTTTGAGACAATCCTTGCAAAAATTATGTGGACACCTAACTTTTCTAACGCCAATATTAACATTGAGACGTTCTTTCATGAAATTTGTCGCCCCCTGCCCCCTATTCAATGTTGTTTCCCGCATTTAAATTTTAAAAGTTTCATTTACCAACATTGAATTGGGAATAGGAGGGTAGAAATTTTCTGGGGGTTAATTTTGTAGAAATACATCTATTTTTGTTTAACGCACGCGGTATCTACAATAATTTTTGCCAGGATTGTAGCAATTTTTGTGGTCAGGGCGGGGTTGATGTCGAGTTAAATGAGACCTAACTGAATTAAAGTGAGTTACCGGTCACGCGTCAAGCATAAATGTATGTAAAGACCTAATGACGTTTTTCGATCGAATAACAGTCAGGCACAACTACAAACTCTCTCATTAGGATAAATTTGTTTATAGCAGTTCGAAATGTAAACAAAGCGTTTGTTTACATTACGGACTTGACAGCACCTTTAAGATTGTCAAAAATTCTACAATGTCAACGAATTATTGTGATTAATAATTATTGTGATTATTAATATATTGGTGAAATTTTATTCCCATATGTACGTCTGAAATAATTTGCCCCGTGAACGTGTTTCACTCTTCTTTTTTTCTGTGCAATGTTCTAGGGACCGTTCATTTTTTATCAGGAGGAGGGGGCTGGTGGTTTTTGTAAGGGGCCACCAAAAAAATAGCGATATGAGAGGGGGGTCATCTCAGAAAAGCATGAGTAGTCAATTTAAATTTAAAGCACACATGAACAAATTAGGAATTTTACATATTTGTGATATTCAGTTCATTCTAAAACGTAAGTTATTTTCTTAGAAAAAAGCTTCATCTTCATGGCTGTTTATTCAAGTTTTATTTGGTTTCTTTTGGCAAAAATGCACAAAATTGTCACTTCCGATAACTTTATTAAACAGCCAAAAAGACATGAATGAAGATGACGTTTTGTCCTGTTATAAAATGAAATATATTGCTTTACAATTGGCTTATCTTGTGATGCTTGGGCAGGACCTAACATGACCAATTGTCCAAGACCATATGTACGTCTGAAATAATTTGCCTCGTGAACGTGTTTCACTCTTCTTTTTTTCTGTGCAATGTTCTAGGGACCGTTCATTTTTTATCAGGAGGAGGGGGCTGGTGGTTTTTGTAAGGGGCCCACCAGAAAAATAGCGATATGAGAGGGGGGTCATCTCAGAAAAGCATGAGTAGTCAATTTAAATTTAAAGCACACATGAACAAATTAGGAATTTTACATATTTGTGATATTCAGTTCATTCTAAAACGTAAGTTATTTTCTTAGAAAAAAGCTTCATCTTCATGGCTGTTTATTCAAGTTTTATTTGGTTTCTTTTGGCAAAAATGCACAAAATTGTCACTTCCGATAACTTTATTAAACAGCCAAAAAGACATGAATGAAGATGACGTTTTGTCCTGTTATAAAATGAAATATATTGCTTTACAATTGGCTTATCTTGTGATGCTTGGGTAGGACCTAACATGACCAAATGTCCAAGACCATACCCAGGTCATGCATGTACTGGAAAGGACTTTGAGAAAGTCTAGAATATAGGGGGATATTGGGGGGAAACGTGAAGTAGAAAGGGGGTCACTGGAAATTCTCCTGCATCTGTTGGAGGGTCGAGAAGAAATTATTTATGAAATGTGCATTTTTCCAAGGTCTCTCTTTCTCATACCCCCAGACAACTATGTACCACACTTCCCGCACAGCTTTCGAGTACCCCTTTACTGTTTTATTTAAGTCAGGCATCTGACGTTTTCTGATGCAAACTATTTTCTACTCTCCTATAGTGAGATGTAACTTTGATCAAGGTAACCTGTGTTCCTTCACAAATTGTGCCAATGATGATTTTGACTGGACAGTTCAGCGTGGAAGAACATCAAGTACTTCTACGGGACCTTCGCAAGACGTTTCAGGGAATGGTAATAAACTGATAGTTTCGTGTTATTAAAATTACTGCACTAAATGTCACATTGTATAATCTTGAGTGTATACTAATATTAGGTAGCGATAAATAATAATCTTGAGGGATTGTAGAATCAAATAGTCTAAAAAATATACGAACAATGCCAGACGAATGCCTGTCGCTGGAAATGTCGAAACAGTATGTGTATTGCAAGCAGGGCCTTGCCGATCGGTATCTGGTTGATGGAGGGGTAGGGGCTGAATTAAAAATTTGGGGGCCCTTCCTTTCGGCGACTCCCTCAAAAAATTTTCCAGAAAGCAAAAATTTTTCCAGTTTAGATCTTTTTCGACCTCAATTCTTCAGAAAATTCCTTAATATTTAAGGGGGTTAACAAAACGTGGACCCCCCTTTCTGGCCCCCTAATCTGGACCCCAATCTGGACCCCATTCTGGACCCCAATCTGGACCCAAATCTGGACCCTATTCTTGACCTTCTAAAAACCTACAGACCAGATTGTAGGACACAACTATTTGGATTTCAATATAACGATGATCGATTAAATTCATTTAGCTTTTTTCGACTTTCTGAATCCTCAATCCTGATCATTTCAGTCATAATCTTGTACATTAGGGCATTGCTGGGCAACATAGTTATCCAATTAGAAATTTCTTACTGCAATTATAGTTTTCTTGTTTCATGTTCTTTTGAATAGGGACAAGCACTTTCAGTAAACTGCATGTTGTTTTTTTGACCTTGTAAAATACTGTGTAATGACATTGTCAATGTAGTGTCGGGTTGCTATAAATCGGCAAATTTACCCCGCTGCATTTACAGCAAAAATGTCAACAAATATTGGCTTGTGGCCAAATTATGGGTCACTGCCGAAGCCATCTCAACAAATGCGGGTTGGGGACGGACTGCTTACAGCTGCCTATGTAATGTTTTCTTAATTTGCATCTTTTCTTTTGGTTTTTAAAAGGTCCAGAAAGGGGTCCAGATTGGGGTCCAGAAAGGGGTCCAGAAAGGGATCCAGAATGGGGTCCAGAAGAGGGGTCCACGTTTTGTCAACCCCCCATATTTAACATCTTTCGCAATTCCGGCCAGCATTCCTAGGCCCCCTCTGGGCAAGTTGGGCCCCCGTTTTTTTACTTTTCTTTGGGGGGGAGAGGTGTTACACCCCCCTGTGATCAGTGTGATGTCCAAGCAGCGTGTTCCAGTCCGAATTGAGAACAAGGAGAGTTGCTAACTGCGAGGACTTGAATTACTTTCAGCCCGATTTTGAGGTTTTAGGTTTTGCAGTAACATTTCATACGAATAAATCATAACTTAGAGTGAAGTGAATTAATTTTGATTCAGGCGTAGGACAGAATTAATTTCGTTTCAGTCCAGACTTAGGACTAGTTTAGCATACGGTAGTTCTCCAGTTAGTATCATCATGCGAGCAAAATAAGGCATTATGGTTGGCTAATGTCCTCATGAAATACTAATAAGACTGAAGAAAGATAATGAATGAAACAATAGTTACTAAATGTTTTTTATAATGTTTATTTTCGCTTGCAGGCAAGTATGTCTATATTGAGACATCAAGACCCAGAGTGCGAGGTGGCATAGCCTTCCTCGTCAGTCCCCAAGTCAGCGGCGCTCAATGTTTGAAATTCTCTTACCACATGTACGGCGCTAACACGGGATCTCTTATCGTCTATCAAAATATGGGTTATCAAATGGTAGAGCTGTTCAAGAAATCTGGTAATAAAGGTAACCAATGGAAGAAAGCTGAAGTACAAATAAACAATGGAAACTATTATTCTGTAAGTATATATATACAACTTTCTCCCGGTAAGCGTTGGTAAATATATTGATCTTGTATGATCTCACTTTAAAGACCTAAACACTTAAGAGGCTGTTTCCGTAAAAACCTCCAGGTCAATATGGGGCTCAAAAATAGATTTCTCTCATACTCTAGTATTTTGAAGATCTATCCTTGGCAACAACTAAAATCGATTTCATTTTACTCAAATTTCCTTTATATTATTTTTGGGGGCGATTGAATGTTCGATCGACTGGTAACCAACTTGAACTGCGAATGAAGGCAAAATATCGACATATTTTCAGCGCTTAAAATCAAATTCATACCTAAATTTCAAAATTTTTGCTCAGAAATATAGATGCTTCTTCTATTTTCGTTGGTGATATGAGATACATAATTATTCTTTGGTATAAAATAGCGGAAAACAGCGCAGTTATTGAACCTCCTGAACGGATAACGGATATCGTCTCAAAATATATCAATTTTGAAAGCTTATTTCAAAATCGTGGCACCTGATTGTCACATAACTTTAACTTTTCTATAAACTACTAATATTAGTCAACACAAATCGCCAATAATATCTTTCTGCTTTACCATTTGACAAAAATGACAAGCGCGCAAACTTTGTAAAATTTGAAAATGTGTCGAAATCGAGCATACTTTATCGGTAAACTTAATTGTTGATATTAACAAATAAAGCCACCTTACACTACACTGAATGAAGCTTGATTGTGTAAATATATGTCTTTCATCATCATTCTTTGGTTTGGCACTTGAAATCAAATTGTTTGAGTACAGTTTTGCTTCACGGATAGAGTCATTCAATGCCAGTGTGTCCAGTGTCTTCTGTGGCGCGCCTCAATGCCACGAGTCCTGATTGTGACATACTATACAAACTTCGCTATGTTCGCTTTGTTTACCTCTTTAACAAATACCTTTACCTATTTAACAAATAACAATGCTCAATGAAATTGGAAAACTCAGAATTAGTCATACTACAGACAGAATTTTCATCGGTTTTGAATCTGTTTTATAAAAGTTTCGTTAGAATGCACGAATTAAATCTCGGGGGAAACCCCTGACCGAAAGAAATGTAGCCTACAGTATACTCGCTGTGATGTCAATATTTCGTTAGTTTCGCTCAGGATAGTTTTCTAGCAACTGAATTGTCTCTAGGTTTAGAAACAATTATCAATGAAACTAGAATTGAAATAAGTCACGGTTCTGTATAAAAAAATCAACTTTTTCAGGCCGACCCTGCCCTGGGGCTCAAGGCTAAGCTTCAAAAATTTATATTATTTCTTATTGTATAAAAATATGTGAATATTTAGATATAATACAAAACAGGCAATTCATCGCAAACAGCTGTAACCCATTTGAACGTCTCAGTTATTTAATCAATGTTATTCCTTTTTTAGTAACAATTAGAAAGGTTCTGAAAATTAGAATTAATTTATATTCTTCTTTCCGACAAGCTTTAAAAGGTGACAAATTTGCATGTGATAACTAATTTCATTCTTACACGCGAGCAACTTCGAAGAACAGTCTACTGTGTCTCGGAATTTTCCACACTCAGAAGTAGAAAAGGAACATTTCTACATTATTGCTTACCGTCATTCTCATATGTCAACATAAAATCGATCGTGACTAAAACACCACACGAGTACATACGAGTAACATACGAGTAACACACAAGTACATACGAGTACATACGAGTAACATACGAGTACATACGAGTAACATACGAGTACATACGAGTAACACACGAGCAACATACAAGTACACACGAGTAACATACGAGTACACACGAGTAACA